GTGAGTACGAGAATCCCAGAGAGAAAGAAAGAGAGAAGAAGAGAGCGCGAGAGTCTACGATAGATAGAGAGGGATGTAAGGATGTACTGCGCGAGAGAGAAAGCGCGATGCGATTGGATGAACGGCGGTGGGCGGAGGTACTTGAATGTGTTGATCGTATGCGTCAGTGTGTGTATGCGTTGCGCGCGCGTCTGCGCGTACGTGGATCCGTTGAATAGAGGAATAATGCTTATGTACATGCACAGAAAGCTCATACATAGTCGGTGTGATACGGAACGAGTGAGTAACGATGCATAGAGTAGGGGAAAGAGATGCTAGTCTAGTGAGGAAAACGAGTCGGATGTCGCATGTGCAAGTTCCTGCCTGCTTCCAGTTTCTACCTTCGTCGAATTCTATCTAGTAACTCGACCCGCCACCCATGCTTGCAAGGCAAATAAAATTGTATCATTTCTCTTTTTCTCTCTTTTGTTTCTATACTATAAAGTACAGCTAAATTTATGACCCTATCCTGTTTGTAGTTTTCTACAAGTCAGTCTCAGTACATTTAAAATATTGACATATTAATGTTTTGTTAAATAATAATTAAAAAAATGATACGCCCTTTATTGTTATATCAAATTTCTCAGATGTGAAATTGACATGTTTATTATGGAAAATATTATTAATTAATAAAGATGTTACAAATTTAAGAAATATTAATATACAAAATTGATATAATAACTTATTTCAATGAGGTTCGGTTAAGTTACATTTCTTTCGAAATAAACGACTTAGCTGGCATATTGGCAACAGCTCATTCGTTTATCAGGTCTGCCTGTCAATAGACCATTTATTTAGACCCTTACGTGTCCAGCTTTTTCCACTTCGCCCAGGAAACAAGATTATTGCCCAACTCGAAAAGAAAAATAGAAACATTAAAACATGCATTTCTACGAAAAGAGAGCAAGAAATGTGTAAATGGTTGAAAAATATAATAATTAAATTATATATCATAATTATCTAAAGCTCGAAGAAAAAATTCTGAAGAATTATATTTTTTAATATGATAGTCGTTGGATATTTATAAATCTCTGCATCGTGTCTGTTCAGAAACCTAACACATAAAGGGCCTTAAAGATAAATTTATAAAGAGATTGTATCTGTATTGATCTATAAAGTACCCCAAAGAATAGATATAGGAATATAGGTAGCCACAATTTTAAAGCATAAGTAGAAAACTTTTTTTACCATTTATCTACAAAAATTTTAAACATTCAATAAAACATTTATATATTATTTGATATTTTAGTCGAAATATATATTATGATTATATATAATATATAATAATATTACAAATAATAATACAAAAATTAATTTTTTACAATCACAATAATCATCTATCGATATACGAGCTAAAGATAACACAAATTTATGAAGATATATTTTGCATTGTTGAGAGATTAGAAATTTGCACAACGATTTAATTACAATTCGAAGTTTTTAATACTTGTTTTGGGTACCTATGTTAGTAATGTTCGATTCCATTGGAACGGTTTATTTAATCTGCTGGAAGACTATAGCTCGAAAAGCAGAGATTGCTGTCACAGAAACGCAATTTCGTTTGTATCGGAAGCCAATACTTGATTTATCATTCAATTGACTAACCTTCATGCCAAAATAATATACGTCACCAGCTGTGACCAGAATACATATCACAAAGGCGTAGCTATTTGATGATCATCGACTTATGACTTAGATTTATTCTCGGTCTTTAAACTATTTATAGCTTGCAATTATCGTGTTTCTATAAACAATACACGGCAGTGTATTTTCTTCATTCAAATGTCATATAATTTTTGGGCTTATATTTCATTATATAACTCTAATTAATTAATTTTTTCAACATTAAGCAAATATGTTATATAATTAATATAGCGTGTATACATAGAAATTAATCGGTGTTAACATCTTTGAAAAAAAAAAATTATGCTTGATTTTTATATATTGCTTAACATTAAAAAAATTTTATGGAAGGAAATATATATAATTCAGAAAGATTTTAATATTTATATATGTCGCAATTTTGTTATTAAAATATACATAATTTTTTTAAAATAGACATATATTATATTTATTTACAAAATTAAAATCCTGTCATATTTTTTAGTACTATCATCAATATATTGTTAGACGTACATTATCATCTCGAACCTGTGTATGACATATAAATTTATATTATCTTAACGTTAACGATGTGTTCTATTTTAAGTTCTGTCCTTGTATTGTAATAGATTTTCTCGTGACTAAAGAGAAATAAGTGGTATGCACTATTCGTAATATCCTTGCGACAAAGGCTATTTATTAAGATACGCTTAATCGATTACTCGGTATTTACCTAAATTTAATTTGAATATTACGAATTCGAGTAAAACTTTTGAAAGTAATATTAATATTGCGTCTTCCATGATGCATTAAAATTGGCAAACGCACGAATTAAATTATGCTCACAAAGAAAATTAATTAGAAGGAAATATAAAATAAATTTTAATATATATATTTTCTTTTCTAAGAGAACATTTTTAAAAATTATGATTAATTAAACATATATAGCAAATGTTTTTTTTATCGAGCAAATTTAGAATTATCTGATTGCATGTAAAAATTAATTGCTTGTTATGTTATTATTTCCAGTTGTGTTATATTTAAATAGAAACACTTTTTATAGCATAAAAATTTCGGTGGGAACGGTTTGAGAAGATCAAATCATACATATATTCTTACATATGCTATGGAGTGCATCAATTAAACTCTGTATAGCGTTATCGAGAAGTGCATTCTTCATTCGTTACAGTTAATTAAAGTTGCACAGTTGATGCTCTTTTCTACGTCAATTGAACTTAAATGCTGTAAAGTATATTTTGCACAAATGGTTCTTTTAAAGTTTTTCTTTCACACAATTGAGTATTATAATGTTTTGTTCCATACTTATAAGATATTTCAAAATGCAGATATAATAGCGATACATTTTCTAATTTACTTCATAACTATTGAAGAATATATCGTTTTCTCTAAAAGTTTTCGATATCACATCTCTTATAATACAGTCGGTCTTATAATACATTCCAAATCATTTAAATAAATATTGAATGTGTTATCTTTTCTTGGGGCATGCAATGTGTTCATGAAAGATTATGTATACACAATTTTTTCTTGTGTTTCCATAACAAATACAAAAAAATTTGCGATTGAGTTTTTAAATTATATTATTGATAATATTGTAGTATTTGTGAAAGTGAAAGAAATAATTAAAAATAAATAAAAGCGCACATACCACGCATGTGCTGTGCTAAATACACCATGAAGATAAAAATATTAATATTACATATCTGTTTCTATATGAACATTATATCAGTTAATAAATAACAATCAGCTGTATATCTCGTGAGAATTGTTGTGGAAATAGAAAGGGAATTATTCGGACACATACACAAGACTTTTCTCGATTCTTTTATGTCGTTGCTCCATCTCGCTGGAGAACGAAAGCACCGAGAAATCCTCAGAACGTTCCAACGGTTTTAAATCTCGATGCGGACACGTACAAGGCGAGATACGAGATGGTACGCTCTGTTTTTACGATTCTCGTCCTACTTTTCATTGTTCTCGTACAAATTCTCGGTTAGCAGATTTTATACATACAATATGTTCATTGTGTATATGTCCTTCAAAAAATAGAATAAATTCTTATCAATGGAATTTATCCTTGAATTTAATTATACACGGATCGACTTTATATATCGGATTCATTTCGAATAGCGAAGTTACATTCTTTGCCTGCTATCACACGTTATATTATTTCTCAGATAATGACATAGAGATAAATATTAGATATGCGCAACAAATAAATTATATAAACGAAAAAATTTAATTACAATTATAGTAAAAGTGGCAACTGATGTCTCAATATAATAAAAACCATTATGACGTTATATTTTAGAAGATACATCGATAAACGTGAAAGAAGAGAGAGAAAGCCCATTTTTATATTTTAAACAAATGAGAAAATTACAAATTTATTAATTTATTTGCTGTATATTTGATTTTATTTTTAAATTAATATTTCAATCGTATTTAACTGGAAAATTGCGTTCTATTTTAGTATGTAATAACATTTGTCGCAATATAAATTATTGGCCACATGATGCGCTCCTAATTGAATTTTATAAAATATCTATATTCTTCTTTTGTTATAAAAAATATTGAATTATAGATTAAACAGCAATTTTTTTTTTATTATTATCACAAAATTGTTTTGAGATATAATAATCATACGCCATGATTTTTTTATTTAATTGTCATTTATTGACATTATTAAAGACATTCTAGAAAACACAGAGAGTTACAGATTGCAAATTCCTTTTTTTAAAAATATTATCTTTATATATATTTATTTATTCAAAATATTTTATATTTTAGTAATACTCCGACTTGTTTAGAAAATAGTTCTCGTCAAACTTTTTCTCTTGTCTATACATATACATTCACTTCGTCTGTAAAAATGTGCAGTATTTCTTGCCGGAACAAGTTTTCTTGCAAAGTTATTGTCACAGGTATAACTACTTTAAATCTTAACTTTTCGAAATAAAGCTTGTTTTATGTTACCGAGATAAAGTTTGTCTCGAATTTGCATATAATTTCTTAGCGTTTTCTAGTAATGTGTGACATGTTAATATATTCGAGCGATTCGTGTTTTATCGCATGAGAATAATGTTTCCAAAGCTATGATAAAATCTAGATAAGAAGTTGCCACAGTTACTATAATTTATGTGTCTACATGCTACTTTAATAATTTACTGTCCCTAAAAGATGCTATGTATTCTCGTTGGAATTTGGCCAATCGACATATAGATCACTGCAGCCCAATATTATTTTATATAAATTTTGCCCGATTTCCTATTACCCTGAATCTAAATATATTTATAGTCAAGTATAATTAAATTTAACAAAATATATCGATCCACTTT